GGTGCTGACCTGCCCAGGTGTGCTGAGGGGAGGGTGCGGGTCCTCAGAGAAGGCTGGCCCTAGCCTGGACCACGCAGGTGCCTGGCACAGCCAGGCCTCGGAGGATGGGAGGGCAGGTGCTGCCCCAGCTGAGGCAGGCCACCTCGGGTCTGCACGGGGCACAGAGCCACGTTTTACGGGGGAAGACCTGGCACAGATGCCCACTCCCCCCCCCCACCTGGGTAGGGGGAGCCTTCCGGGTGTGTCCAGAGTATATGCGCGGAAGTCTGCCAACCTGGACCTCTTAGGCCTTCAGGGTGACTGCCAGCCCAGTGGGGAGGTGGAAGGAGCAGGAAGAGGCCCAGGGACCTGAGTCCTCCCAGATGCCAGGCCAGGCCACGGCCTAACGGGGGGGGGGGGGGGCGGGGGGGAATATGCCAAGAAAACCCTCCAGCTCTCCCAGTGACCCCAGGCTGGTTCTGCTGAGGACATCACCCCTGCCACCAGCACGGGCATCAGCTGGGTTGCTCCGTCCCCACGGGAAGGGGTTACAGACACTGCTCTACAGTGGCTGGGGCAGGGGACACCCTCTGAGGCCCTTCCCAGAGCCTGCGCAGCTGTTCCGTTTACCTTCAGTCGGGTCCCAGGTGCGTGGGCGTGGCGGGGCCGGGAGCACCTTTTGTGGCTGGGTTTCGGCACGGGGCCTCAGACACCACCCCGGGGAGCAGGCGCCTGAGTGCTGAGCCAGGCGATCGCCCAACAGCTCTGTCCGCAGCACCGAGCCGGGGGTTTCAGGCGGGTGGCTGCTGAGGGCCCTGGGCTGCTGGGGGGCTGCGTCTAGCGGCCAACAGCAGAGGGGCGGGCCGTTGTCGGGGCAGGTGGGGTGGGCCGCTGGCCCAGGCCCCCCGCGTGTCCTCAGCCCCCTTTCCTCCGGTGCGCCGAGCCTCTGGCCCTGGGCGGGAGTGCGGATGGAGAGACGCCGCCCCAGCCTCGGTGGTGACTCAGCGTGGAGCGTGGCCTGAGCCACGGTGCCGTCTCTTCCCACCCGGTGACGGACTGCCACGTTTCACGTCCTCCCCAGCCTGGGGATGAAGTCAGGCCCGCATGTCAGCATGGACGAGGTCAGAAATGGGCGACACTAGCAGATCCCGCCGTGAGCGGAAGGGCAGGCGGGTGGGCCGTGTCCCGCCGACGGGGCCTCCCCCGTGACACCTGCTGCGGCCGTGCGGGCTGTGCACACAGGAGTGGCCGTGCTGGGCCACGGGCCAGGCTTGCTCACACCGGGCCTCGCCTGTCATAGGCAGCCTCCCGGGGCCGGCCACGTGGAGGGGCGGGGCAGGTGCACGGTGGGAAGGATGATGACAGTGTGCTCGGTGGGCAACACCTGGGCGGCGGGGCGGGGGATGGTAGCAGGCGTCCCTTCCTAACTCTGACCTTCACCCCACCCCCAGGCCCGGCTAGCCACTTCCCAGGATCCATCCATCCATCATCCAGTTGGTGGACATCTCCCGGGCACGGGCTAGAACAGGGACGTTCTGGGTCCCCTGTCGGGGGTCCCCAGGGAGCAGTGGTTCAGCGTGGCAGCTGGCCTTCCCCGTGCGTATTTCGACAACACTGGGCATCTGTGGGACTCGGCCTTAGGTCTGAGTCTCCTCTTCTCCCAGCTTCCTGTCTCAGTCAAAAAAAGGAGAAGCCACCCTCACTGCCAAGGGCCAGGTGCAGGCAGGAAGGCCACGTGATCGAGCCTCAATTGTAATTCTGCTTATGGAGCCATTTTTAGGTTTCTCTTATTATAAGCTAAGTGATGGCACTGTCAGAATTTGTGTGCATATGCCCCCTTTCTGACTAATTTCTCTGCTAAAAATTCCTGGGAGAAATCATTATTGCACGTGGGCTTGCTGCAGCGTGTGCTGTGAACATTCATGGTTCTCGATAGGTTTTGCCCAGTTGCTCTTCTGCAGAACATTACTAAGTCTACCAGCAACTCATGAGAATACGTACTTCCTCATAGGTTCACGGGTAGTGAATTTGTAGAGATTTCACTGTTATCAAAACCACAAGGGGGGCCAGGCACAGTGGCTCACCCCTGCAATCCTAGCACTCTGGGAGGCCGAGGATGGAGGATGGCTCAAGGTCAGGAGTTCAAAACCAGCCTGAGCAAGAGCGAGACCTTGTCTCTACTACAAATAGAAAGAAATTAATTGGCCAACTAAAAATATATAGAAAAAATTAGACATGGTGGCACATGCCTGTAGTCCTGGCTACTCGGGAGGCTGAGGCAGGAGGATCGTTTGAGCTCAGGAGTCTGAGGTTGCTGTGAGCTAGGCTGATACCACGGCACCCTAGCCGGGCAACAGAGTGAGAGACTCTGTCTCACAAAAAAAAAAAAAAACACAAGGGGATTTTAGCCCAGGTCCAGCTTTGCTCGTAGCACAAAGATCCAGTTATTGAGACAAGGAGGATTGCCAAGGAAAAAAGGAATTTTTTAATGACAGACACCTTGTCAGGAACAGCTGCCTCCAGTCCGTCTCCAGGACTCACGGGGATCAGAGACGGGGCGCAGCGTGCCCTGAGGAGGCCGTGCTGAGACTAGCAGGGGCCACGTGCTTGGGGAGGCCGTGGGATGGTGAGTCTTGGCATCAGGAGGTCTGTCCAGGGCCTCGAGAATCTCAGCCCTTTGGCAGAAAACCCCCCATTCCTGGGAAGTATCTCAGATGGTCAAGTAGGTGGCTAAGGAAGAGGATTATAAAAACATAGGGATTATTAAAATTTGTTCGTGGGGTGAGTGTCTTTACTTTTGCAGGTTTTAATGCAGTTTTCTCTTTGGTTTTAATGTGCATGTCTTTGGCTATTAGGAAGGTTGACCCAGGGCCCTACAGTTACTTGCAATCTGTTTTTTCTCAAGTGTACAAATTACCTCACCGTGACCTTTCCTGTTTGTCCTTTGAGTCATTGGATTTTTGTGTGTGTTTTTTTCCTAAGACTTTATTTTTTAGAGTAGTTTTAGGTTCTTAGCAAAATTGAGAGGGGAGGTCCAGAGATTCGTCACATGTCCAGATATTTTAAAGCTTCCTTTATTTGTCATTATGTTCTAAGTGTTTTCTTGTTTCATTTGCGCTTATTTTGGTGGCGATGATTTTCCGTGTGTCAGTTAATCGGCTGCCACGGAGCCTGGGCTCCCCAGAGGTCTGTACCCGCTTCACTCGGTCCTCCCTGTTCCACGAGCTCTGAGCCACACGGCCACAGTATTCTCTGTTTCTTTGTAGTTTTGTGTTTTGTAATATTTATCTTAACGTAGTATGTGGACATAAATTATTAAAATTTATTTCCTTCCCACCTCAATCATCCTGACATAATTCAATAAATAGTTTTCTACCTCCATTGTCTAACACACAATGCCTCCTTGTATGCATCAGAGTCTGTTCCAGTTAAGTTTTGCTTATATTTTGGAGTCATACTACACCATTTTAATCACTGTGGCTTTGAAGGCCCCTCTGCATGGTTCATTGGCATTCTGTTATACACTGTTTTGCTTTCTTTGATACATTTTTCTCCCTATTTTGCCAAAAGAATTTAGGAATCATTTTGCCAGATTCCATAAAAAGCCATTGGGATTCTGACTGAGATGACAACGTTGATAAGCCGTGATTTTCAATCCGTCAGCTTGGGAATCCCTGCGATGGATTTAAGAGTCCTTGGGCAGGGCTGGGGGTGGGGGTGGGCGTGGGGGCACAGGGTGGGCCTCGGGGTCCTCAGGGTTGTCAGCCAGACTGCTCTGATGGGTTGTTGTCACCTTGTTACTGGAAACTGCTTTTGAGCAATTAGTAGAGAAACCATCAGAGTCTATTCTGACCCAAGTATGAGGACCATGGCCCAGAGCCACACCAAGAAGCCTTGAGCAAGTGGACTTGCTGTGGCCGGGTTACAGTTTGGGTTTATACATTTCAAGGAGACAGGAATTACACGTAAAGTCATAGATCAGCACATGAAAGGTGTGCATTGGTTTGGCCCCAAAAGGCAGGACATCTCCAATTGAAGGGCTTATAGGTTACAGGTGGTTTTAAAGATTCTTTGATTTATGATTAGTCAAAGAAATGAAGCTTGGAATGTTTTCAGTAAAGGAAGTCTGCTAATCAGAGACAAAAGACAAGTCACCCAACATAGACTCACGAGATCTGTCGGACAAACTGAGGACCTGCAGGTGTGGTTTCAGCTTTGTCTTGCATGGCCTTCGGCCCGGCAGAGAGTGACAAAGGACATCTCCAAGAAGGGAGGGGGCATGACGAGGCCTGTGTGACCCCCCTGGTCATGCAGCAACTCAGCTTTAGGGTATTTCTGGGGTCCCCTTGGCCAAGAGGGGGTCCACTCAATCAGCTGGGGGGGGGGCTTAAGATTTTATTTTAGTTCGCACAACCAGTAATGTTACCTTGTTTTGTTATTTAGCTCTTTCATGCGTCTCTGAATTTGTTTTGTGTACTTGATAATGAAAGTATTAGGTTCTTCAATTATAATCATTCTTTTATCATTTCTACTTTATTTTTCTAGCAGGTATATACATATACATTTTGCTCTATCTTTAGAGCATTTAGATTCAATGTAATTACGCTGCTATCAACCATGCCTCTTATTATGTCCTCCTTATCACATTTAATAGTTTTTGCTTTGGATGATGTTTTACCTCATGTTAACATTGGAACCCCAAAATTTCACTACTCAAATTTTACTGGTAACTCTTTTAGTCCTCGTATGCATGTCTGTTTTAGTTGTCTCTCTTGCAAACATCTTATTGCTGGATTTTTTTTTTTTCATCTGGAGAGTGACAGCCTTTTAACAAAGGCAGTTGTATTTGTCCTTTGATTCAGTCTTCAGGCACCCACTTTTTTGTCATCTTGATTTTTATCTTTCTATGCCGATTATTTTTCTTCTCTCCCTATTGTTGAGACCCTATGTGTTTTTTCTTTTAAATGGGATTGAAATATTGGCAAGCTGTTTTTCACTCAACCAGCAGTGAAACGTGAAACGATGTTCTTATTTCGGTATTTATTTCCTTACATTGTCAAGCCGCACACCTTGTCCTCCGCCTGTGAAGAAACAAGAAACTCAGGGTTTGGGGCTTCTTTCTCTCCATCTCTGTGTCTTTCTATCTCTCATTGATTGCAATTAATGTTCTTCCTTTCTGTCCTGTATTTATTGGGGTTTTTCTTTTTCACACTGTGTGTTTTTCTGACAGTTGCACTATTTGCATACTTTTATCGGTAATAACCCTTGCTCTGATAGGGTTCTTGTTGACTTATCTTTGCAAATAGAGCAAATTAACAAATAGAGAATTTGTTCATTTAAGTGTGCTTTATTTTTTAACATCATCGTTCCCTTTTACATGTATCTTTTAAATTCAGGAGATTGTTTGAGGTAGAACCTAGAAATAAGCCTTGTGATTAATATATTCTCAGAATTCAAAAACGTCTAAAGAGCTTTCTGCTGCCTTTGTACAGGACTGACAGCTTGGCAGGATAATAGGTCTGCAAGGAACAACCTCGTTCTCTGAAGTTCCCGCAGCTGTTGTTCCTTCGTCTCTGGGTGTTTATTATGTCATCGGAGGTGGCAGAAGTGGTTTTGATTTATGTGTATTTTTAAAATATGACACCTCCTTTCTGGTGTGGTTGCTGCCGTGTTCCTTTTAGTTTAAAATTCTTGCAAGAACGTTCTTGGATGGTGGCTTCATTAAACTCGTGGGGGCTTTCTCGTGCACTGCGGTTCCCACCCGGGACTTTCATAGGACGGGCGTTCTCATCGCTCTGTTAGCTCAGGATGCGGAACCTGCTCCTCCAGCGCCCCCCCCCAGCGCCTTGGCCCTCGCTGGGATTCCATGCGCTAGTTCAGTCCTTTGTCCCCACCGCTAGTCGCTAGTCGTTACGTCTTCTTTCTGGATACATTTTTCCAGTTACTGCGCTTTTATTCTCCACAGTACAATTTCTGCCTTTTACTCTATTTAAAGCAGTTCCTAATTAGGATATTGCCATTGATACTAATTATAGTGCAATAGGTTAAAGTTTGCTTTATCCCCAAACCTAATGGGCATACTAACCAAGCTCTTTCTGGGAGGCCAGACTCCAGCCACTGTGGGGTGGGGGGGCGGCCTGAGAGGAAGCAGGGGCAGGGCCACCTGTGGAGGGCCCTGTGGGCCGCTCTCAGGCCACGTGTCCTCAGACCCTGGGCAGCCAGGACCACCAGGGAATGTCTCCGTCAGGCAGCACCAGGGCCTGAATCCCCCTCCCCAGCTGGACCTGGGTGGGGGCTGAGACCCCCATGCCAGCCCTCCCTCCCAGAAGCCAGGTGTGTCTGGGCTCTGCGGGTCCCCACCACACTTACTTCTCAGTGTCCTTGTCCTCCCAGTGCACTGGGGCTGCTCCGAGGCTCGTGTCCACCATGGCTTTTGAATTAGGGAGAAGCCCCCGTGGATAGCTGGAAGCTTCTCCCTTGCTGGGGTGACTGCGGCTTCCCGTTGTGCGGCAGCACACCCAGCAACGAAACAGATGGACACGTGTTTGCGGGAGACGGGACAGTGTTGCCAGCCCGGGGAAACAGGCGGCCTGTTGCCGCTGCTATTTGGTCGCAGTTCTCCTTTAACAGGTCAGGTGAGGGCGCCGTGTGGCCTCCAGGACCCAGATGCTTGATTCGGCCCAGCAGCTGTCGCCGAGGACCCAGCAGGACAGGACCTTCTCCCCCTGGAGTCACAGCCCCCAGCACCGTGGCCTCTGGGAGCCCCAACCCTCCCTTGGGGTCACCCCCAAGGTGGGGATTGAAGGTAGGGTCCACACCTCCAGCTGCAACCCAGTGTCAGGGCCGCTGACCTTTGACCACTCCCTGCTCTCCAGCCCAGCCCTGCACCCTCCGCTGTGCCCACCCTCCAGCCAGGCCTCAGCCAGGCGCAGGGGGGACCCTCCAGTGAGCGGGCTTCACCCCAAGCCAAGGTCGGGGTTCCTGCAGGGACAGTGGACACCAGCGGGGCTTCTGCCTCAGTTTCCTGGTTGTCGCTCCAGGCCCTTGGCAGCTCCTATTCCACGTCCCAACCTCGGGTGGTGTCCGGGCTGCCTGGCTGGGTTTACAGCTGGCTTGGGCCAGACTGTGACGTCTTCATGTCTCCCCCACACCAGCCCGGAGTACGGCTCATCTGACAGTACAAGCGGGGCCGTCTGCGTCTCTGGCAGCTTGTTCTGTGCCAGGCCCCGTGACAAGTCCTGCACGTGAATGGTCTCATCTGGGGGTGGGATTCAGTGGCTCTGTTGAGGGTTCTGTGCCAGGCCCCGTGACAAGTCCTGCACGTGAATGGTCTCATCTGAGGGTGGGATTCAGTGGCTCTGTTGAGGGCTCTGTGCCAGGCCCCGTGACAAGCTCTGCACGTGAATGGTCTCATCTGGGGGTGGGATTCAGTGGCTGTGTTGAGGGCTCTGTGCCAGGCCCCGTGACAAGCTCTGCACATGAATGGTCTCATCTGGGGGTGGGTTTCAGTGGCTCTGTTGAGGGCTCTGTGCCAGGCCCCGTGACAAGTCCTGCATGTGAATGGTCTCATCTGGGGGTGGGTTTCAGTGGCTCTGTTGAGGGTTCTGTGCCAGGCCCCGTGACAAGCTCTGCACGTGAATGGTCTCATCTGGGGGTGGGTTTCAGTGGCTCTGTTGAGGGTTCTGTGCCAGGCCCCGTGACAAGTCCTGCACGTGAATGGTCTCATCTGGGGGTGGGTTTCAGTGGCTGTGTTGAGGGTTCTGTGCCAGGCCCCGTGACAAGTCCTGCACGTGAATGGTCTCATCTGGGGGTGGGTTTCAGTGGCTCTGTTGAGGCAGGAGGGAACCAGGGTCCACGCATTGCCCACCCGCTCGGGGCTTTCGTGCAGAGGCAGGTGGGCAAGAGTGAGACACTCACGCCAGTGACGTGAGGGGTCCTGGGGAGGGTGTGGTGGGCCCCATCGGAGGACGGTGGTGTGGTGGTCCCCAGGGGGTTCTCATCACACCCTTGCCGTGTGCCAGGGACCACCATACCCATGTTAAGGCTGAAAACCCCAAGGCTCAGTGACTAGTGACAAAGTCCCTCCTATAGTGAATACTCAATTGTGTGGAATGTTCCAGACTCTTCCCTTCTGCCACACCCAGTGCTGCCCCTGAGCTGGGATTGGGGCAGCCTGGACAGACGTGGCCAGTTGCTGGGACTTGTGGGGGGGCCGGCCCAGCGGGAGCAGCCCTGCAGGGTCCCCGTGGAGCCCGGGGGGACCGGTGGCATCAGAGAGGCAGTGCACTCCTTGGCACGGCACGGCTTGGAGGGCAGAGTGTGCTTTGGGCCCCTCCAGCCGCCAGCGTGGCTTCAAGGATAAGGATAGCATCCCCAGGGTGTCAGCATCCAAATATAGCATCCCAGCTGTCATGCCTGATTCCGGGGCTTGGACACGTGTCACACCCATGTCCCCATGAGGTGGGAGCCCTGGGGCCCAGCAGGCCTGGGTGCAGTCCCAGCCCCACCACACATAGCTGTGCAGCCAGGCCTGGGGATCCCCACGGGGGTCCCCAAGATCTGAAAGTTGCCTCGAGGCCGCAGGGCTCACGTGAGCCCAGCCCACTGTCCGCTGTGTTCTCAGACCCTGGGGGCCAGGATCGCTCGGGCGCAGGGCGCCCCCCTGCCCGGGCCCCGATACTGGTGCCCACACAGGACAGTCTGTGACTTCGCCTGGGACCCCAGCTGAATTTTAAAACTATTTCATCTGGCAGCCCCGGGAGCCGCGTCCCTGCTCGGGCCTGTCCTCAGAGGAGGCTTTATGCTGCACGGCGGGGCCTCCGTGGGGGCCGGGCTTGGCAGCCCCCGTGCTGAGTCTGGTGCCAGCGCCGGCTGCACGGAGCCAGGGATGGAATTAGAAACCTCTCCTTCCTCCCGGCCTGGGCAGAGGTGCCAGATTCCTCCCAGCAGGAGCTGTGGAAGGGGGGGACAAGGTCCTCAGGATGCCCCCTTCCTGGGAGCGGCTTCCCGGGGGGTCAGGGGAAGCAGCGGCCTGAGTGGAGGCCAAGCTGGCCCACGTCAGTCCCTGGGCATGTCCCAGTCTGCACGGCCACCTCGGGCCTCCCAGCCACCCCAGCAGGCTGCCTTGTCTGTGCGGGGTGCTCCTTCCCACGAAGGTGGGTCTTAGGGTTTTCTCGGACCTCTGAACAGCAGACGGGCCGGGCCCTGAACCCTCTTGCGGGTGTGATCTGTTGTCCTCAGGGGACACAGCCAGCCACGGGGGCGTGTGGGCCATCTGCCCCAGCCTCAGCGGTCCCCATTTCACTGGACACCCCTATGGAGCACACTCTTAGTCATGGGGTATCCATCAGTTGCTGGGGGCGCACTGGGCCTGACCTCTCCCCAGGGCCAGCGTGCATCTGCCGGCCAGCCTGGGCCTCCCCCGCCCCTCTGTGGCCCTGGGTCCCGAGGGTATGACCCCCCCAGGGTGCAGGGAGGCCCCTCGCTTCTCCCTGAGGCGCCCCCTGCTCCCCCAGCGGTGCTTCTCCGCAGGCGGGCCCAGCCGAGGAAGCCTGCGCTGGGCAAGGACTCGCAAGACCCCTGCCGCCCTCCCAGGAACGGGCAGAGGTTACAGCCTCGATTCTGAACGCACAGACCGCAGACCGTGCTTCTGAGAGGCGTGGGGGTGCCTGGGGGCCCCAAGGCAGCCCAGGCTCACGGGGCCGGTGACCACAGCCACCCCGCTCCAGCCCCAGGCTTGGGAGCAGGGCCCAGGACAGCGTCCTCCGGTGGCACTGGAGGCTCAGGCCCATCAGCCTCATGGTCGTCCCTGTCATCTACTGAGCCCTGCTGTGCGCTTGCAGGAGGGGCACCAGGCTCCAGCAGGGCCCAGTGTGGGCCTCCCTGGCCTCCTGGAGGCCATCGTCCGGGGAGGGAGGCGGCAGCACACAGGCGGCTGCCGTCAGACAAGAGGGACAGGGTCGGGACGCAAGGACTGAGTCGGAGTAAGCACGTCCAAAGGCCCGAGGCTGGTTGCACGGCGCTGGGGCACGGGGCTGGGGACTGCCAGACCAGGCCCCCAGGAGCGGGCAGCAGACTGGGGGTGTCAAGAGAAGAGCAGTGCTTCCGCCCCACCAGCCTCTCCCACGGCCCCGCTGCGACAGCCGCTGCCCCCCAGCAAGGACCCGAGAGGCAGGTCGTCCCAGCGGGGGAGAGACGGGGCACACGCCAGGCCGAGAGTCCCTCCGGCGTCCAGGGCTGCGGTCAGCCCTGGGGCGGACACGTGCTCGAGGCGCGGCGCCGGTGGGAGCGCGGGGTGCTCCTGCGCTGGGAGTCGGGGCGCTCCCCCGGCAGCCTTTCCCACGCCGGCCTGGGCCCAGAAGCCTGCTGCAAAGTTTCCTTTCCGGCATGTTCCGGGCTGGGAGACGCAGGCTCCCTTCAGGCCAGGAAAGGAAGAGACTGACAGGGCCTAAGACAGGGGAGGGGGCCGAAGCCAGGGCCCAGCGGGCGGTGAGGGGAGCAGCGGCGCGGAGGAGGCCTGGAGGCCTGGTGCCACGTCTGCTTTCCGTGCAAGGCGCGGGGAGGGCCGGCGCCCTCCCGGGTCACCAGTCACCAGCGCGAGCCTGCCGTTTAGTACTAGCGGGTTCCCACGGGCCTGGAGCGTGGCGGGGGGAATCCTTTGCTGCCTCCTACGCAGCAGTGAAAACACTGGCCCGTTTCCATGCCTCTTCCTCGTTACCTTGAACCCTCCCGAGGTTCTTTCTTCTGTGCTTTGTTCATATTTTTCCTTCTCCTAAAAGAGAGAGGCCTTTGTCCTCCTTGCCCAGCAAGCAGCGCGGTCGGTGGTCGGGGAAATGCAATATTTGGCAGGTAACCAAGGTGTGGGGCGGACTCGCCCTCCGAGACTCGGCAGGTGTCTCGGGAAGCCGGCGGTGGCGCTTTTGTTGTTTATTGACCAGGAGTCTCAGTGGAAACCTTGGTGACGCACGCTCTGCTGGGACATTCCTTGGAGTGCTCCCTGGGAAAACAGCTTTGCTGAGATGTCGGAAGTCCCAATTGTACAACGTAGGCAGATAACCCTATTAGGATCCTGGCAAAGTGTTCATTTGCACGCAGCGGTGACACTCATGCCAGCGATGACATTCCTGGCTGAGCCGTGCAGTAGGCCATGAGCCTGGGCATCCCTGGGCCAGCTCGGATGTGTGAGGGCTCCCCCAGTTTGACTGGGTTCTCTGTGACCCTCCTGGTGTGGGGGCATCTGTGCAGTGTCCGCCGTCCCCTCGCTCCTGCCGAGCACAGGGGTGCGGGGCCGCTGCTCCGTGTGCGTGCCGGGTGCGCACGGCGGGCTCAGCCCCTTGGGCCCAGTGCCTGTTCCCAGGATGGTGACGGGGTGCTGCAGCGAAGTGTTGTCAATCAGTCAACAAGGCTTCCTTATACGTTCCCCCAGCGCGGAGAGAAACAAAAGACGCCGTGTTTCTCCCGCCTACAGCAGCGCTGGGCAGACGCCGCGGGAAGCCGGCCTCACCGGCCCACGCCGCAGCCCGGGCTCCGCAGGGACGAGCCGGCCCGCCTGCTGCTCTGCTGCTCCCTGCCTGGCGCCCGGCCAGCCCAGCGTGGCTCTGAACACAGGGGAAGTAGCGGTGCGT